GTAGGAGAAGAGGTGTGGAGAATTCCAAACTTGTTCAGCCGGAAATAACAGTTATGTCTGATGAAATCATGGCTTTATTCGATGCTGCCTGGCTATATCTTTGTAGTTCTCTAACGTTATCAGCATGCTTCAACAACTTCAGGCAATCTTTGCTGATGAATGAACAGATGCCTCACATCAATTATTGGATATCTTTCTATACATTCCAATTCTGACGGATGTTGTCAACCACACCCCGCCTTTCACAACACTCAACTTAAAAAAAGGAAAATCGATCATAAAATTGAGTAAGGCAAAGTGTTAGCGGACGGAATGTGCAGAAACGCGTAGAAAAATTGGTTTTGGTAAGACTTTGTCTCTCGCTGGACAGTAAAGATCGCCTTTTTGACGACTGCTTGAAGTCAATTAATGCGCGCGCTCCCATTTTTTGACCGCAGGCCACAGGGGTATTTCGCAAGGTTAATTATCTCACAACAAAGGACATCCTCTGATAACACAAATACATAACTGACAGCTCGCCTTTGGTGGAGGGTAACTCCCTTAAAAGCTGTTCCAAACGACCCTGCACTCCCTGATTTCTGATATGATAAACATATTTCGACGGGACACCAACTATACGCTTGATTTACATGTTCCTCCTCCAATGGACCAGAAATATCTACAGGAGAACATTTGCCATACATGTGACATGCTTATGCTTTGCAGTTAACCAAGGCAATCCTATATACTGAGAGAGACTCGGACGTGGTTTAGCAGACTAGCCTCGCCTAAGCAAAATGAAAAGTGAATCCTAAGCTTAATCTTGGTTTGCTTTTATTAATTGTTTTTTCGCCTCCAAAATTATTGGCCAGTTAGAATTGTCCAGCTCCCGATTGACTGTCTGTCTATGCAATTAGAGCCGAACTTCATGCGCTAATTTTCTTTTGCCCGGCTGTATCTTCCGACAATGTAGCACGTGTCGCTTGATTTCATATTCTCAGGGCAACAGCTGAAAACATCATTCCTATTGTACAATTAGCTCTAGACATAGCATTAAAATGCCAAATCGCAATAGCACTGCAAATAGTTCTTAGGTCACAGGATCATCATTTCCACCATCTGTCCAAAGGGACAGATGGAACTTAGAAGCGAACATGCAGGTATAGAGTACATCAGCTGGTAAGGAGAAGATGCTTATTCTGAACTATCAAATATCTTGTATCCAAATGTAACTTTTTCGTAGTAATATGCGGCCACATGATAAGGAAAGTAAAAGTTGTTCCAAAGCAAAAATAAAAGTATATTTCAGTGTGTTTCAGTGGTGCTAGCTAAATACAGTGTCAGTTATTTTATACTTGAAGTCTTTTATACAAAGCCGGCATCGGCATTAAAATGTCTCGCTTTCTAATGCCATTGAGTCTGGTGCGTAGCCGAATGCCAGGTTGGTACTGGAAGCGCCGACCCAACTTCGACATAATCAGACACAACCAGACGTCGTCAATAGGGATGGGGCGAGGAAAGTGCGTAGTAATGACCAGCTTCTTCACCCGTTCATAACCCAGGAAGTACAACTCACCATAACTATATGGTGCCAGTCGGGGCCAGGGCATCTCACGCTTGGAGAATGCTCATGGGTAATAATAGGCAGCTTGGCCAAAGCGGAGAACTGGTACTCTCGTGTGTTCTACACCGACTACCATGCGCTCTCGCCAGCCTGCTGACAGGCGTCCGAGAAAAGGACGTAGATTTTCCTGATGGAAGCCGAAGTCGTCGTCTATGAAGAGGAAGCCGGGTCGTTCGGTTCGACAAAACCTGGCAGCCCATTGAAAGGCCGTCATCATTTTGGTTGTAAGGTTGTAATAGGTGTCTTCATAGTCACCTACAAGGAGATCGTTATACTGCAATACCTCTTCCCTCAGACGCCGGAGGATGAGGGGATGTGTGTTTTCGGTGTCTTTTAGAGCCTCTCCAGCGCGATTGGTGAGTGTCAAGTTATATCCGTCACGATCGAATATCCGATTCCCAGATCGTCTGGGCA